ATGTGATTGGTCTGTTCAAGAACTCAGTTACCTCCTGGGTGAACTTAGGGAGGTTGTATGAGTCCAGGAATCTGTCCATTTTGTCTTCATTCTGTGGTTTTTGGGCATATAGATTTCTATAATAGTCAAACATAATGTTTTGTATTTCTGTGGAGTCTGTTTTGATCTCTTTTTTCATTTCTTATTGAGTTTATTAGAGTCCTTTCCCTTTGAGTTCTTGTCAGCCTAGCCAGAGGGCCGTCAATTTTGTTGATCTTTTCTAAAAACCAGCTTCTGGTTTTGTTGATCTTACATATAATTCTCTTATTTTCCATTTCATTTAGTTGGGCTTTGATCTTAGATATCTCTTTTCTTCTGCTCAGATTAGAATTGGTTTGCTCTTCTTTTTCCAATTCCTTGAGTCTATTCATTAGGTTGTCGGTGTCTACTCTTTCTGTTTTTTGGATGTGAGCATTTATTGCTATTAATTTTCCTCTCAGATATGCTCAGATATCGCACAGGTTTTGGTAAGATGTGGCTCCATTGTGGTTTTGTTCAAAGAAATCTTTGATTTCCCTCTGAATTCATATATAGTTTTAAGTACTATGTTGCTCAGTTTTGCTTATATTTATTTCTCTTTAGAACATTTGTTTTAGACAATAACATAATCCTTAAAAAGTGAACATGCAGGCCGGGCGCGGTGGCTCACGCCTGTAATCCTAGCTCTCTGGGAGGCCGAGGCGGGTGGATTGCTCGAGGTCAGGAGTTCGAAACCAGCCTGAGCAAGAGCGAGACCCCGTCTCTACTATAAATAGAAAGAAATTAATTGGCCAAATAATATATATAGAAAAAATCAGCCGGGCATGGTGGTGCATGCCTGTAGTCCCAGCTACTCGGGAGGCAGGAGGATCGCTTGAGCCCAGGAGTTTGAGGTTGCTGTGAGCTAGGCTGATGCCACGGCACTCATTCTAGCCTAGGCAACAAAGTGAGACTCTGTCTCAAAAAAAAAGACACAATTATGACCCTCGAGATTTCTACTGTTTACTGGGGGTGACAAGCAAGTGATCCTTTTGCTGGAGAAATGTGCTCCGAGAGGCTTTTGGAGGAAGTATGGGAGGACAGAAGGTGGGTACATACTCCAGGATAGGGAGGAAGAGAGTTAGGGAAAGCTTCCTGCTTACACTGAGTATTCTATACTCACCAGCAAACTGGTATTAACTGAGCAGCACCTAAGTGGACACATAGGTACTACAGTAATAGGGTATTGGGCAGGGGAGTGGGGGGTGGGTATATACATACATAATGAGTGAGATGTGCACTGTCTTGGGGATGGTTATGATGGAGATTCAGACTTGTGGGGGGAGGGAGGAAAGGGCATTTATTGAAACCTTAAAATCTGTACCTCCATCATATGCCGAAATAAAAATAAATAAATAAATAATAATTTTTTTAAAAAGTCATGGTATTGGGAGTAGAGTTGGAGGAAAAGGCATACTCAGTGGCCTGGAGATGGCAGAGATCTTGGCATGTTCAAGGACATGAAGAGAATTTGGGGAACTGTGCACAGATGCAGCTAGACATACGGATCTGCAGGTTGGGTGGGGCCTATGCATATAGATCTGGGAGGTCTCAGCAGACAAATGTCTTTTCTGGGAAATGTCTTTCAGGCCTCCTCCTCTTGGAGCCTCTGGCCATGGTGCCTGTCTGCCACTGATAATGCAGACTTGGGCACCAAGGCAGCGTAGGCTGCTGAGGGGAAAAGGACAAAGAGGCAAAGGGTATGAGAAGAGAGTGATCTAATTTTAAGCAGCTTTTAACCATCTACTCTTCCTCTTATCTTCCCAGAAATGACTTGAAGATCTCAGAAAGTAGCAGGTACAAATAAACTTTGAAAAGTGAAAGCAGTTTAGTCAAGTCTGGGTTTGTAGAGCTTTTCCTTTCTCTTTTTCCAGGCCCTTCCCCTATCCCTACCTTTCTTTCTGTTTCCCAGTCACCCTGAGCCTGATCTGATATTTTCTGCCTGGCAACCGGTAATGTTTTAGAATCCTCAAGTCAAGCTGGATGATGGGCTGGGCGAAGGGCAGCCATTTCTGCTGTGCAGCAGCCAACAGTCAGAACCTGGGTTTCTTTTTTTTATGTTTAATTTTTATTTTTAAATTTTGAAAATTTTTCTCGTTTAGTTTTTTTGTTAATTTCAAGATATTATGGGCGTACAAACATTTTGGTTGCAAGTAAAATGCAAGTTTGGTTGCTAGTAAAACTTTGTCACGCCCAAGCCAGGACTACAGGAAAAGCCTTGGTTTCTAAACACAGGGGCAACAGCAAACTGGAGAGAGATCTGAAAGAGAAATAGCAGGGCCAGTGGTTTCCAGGCTACTCCACCAGGCACTCTTCCTGTTTATATTTATCCTATTTGTTTAAAAATATGTCTGTGCTATAAAATATATTTAGATAATAGTTTTTCTAATTTTATTAACCATCTAACAAGTGCCTCAAATAGAAGAACATGATTTATATTAGACTCTTGAAATATAAAAATGAGTTCTTGGATCTCATTACTTTACATAAATCCAGCACCTCTGTAAATCCAGTTTTCCAGCACAGAACTCTCTGGAATAAAATGGTGTCATCTGAGATCCATCAGCAGGTGAAGGTACAATGAATGGCCACTGCAAACACAGCAAAGATGATACCTTGGCATTTTTATAAGCGTCTTACTTTGAAAAAATTTGAAGAACTTTTAATAAATGCTTTTAAAAAATTGCTTCCATGGCAACCTCCTAAGAGTTTGGGAGAGGGCAGTGGTTAATTTGGAAAGTCAGGAGGACCAAAGTGATTGAGTGGATTCCCTGAGGACATGTGGCTCAGGAACACCCATTTTTACCTCAATCCAAATCTCAAGAGCAAGGGAGTGAGTGGCACCTGTGAGTATCTCTGAGATCACAGCAATGAGGAGCATCCGGGTAAAGGTGGGGACACAGAGGCGCTGTGGTGTGAGAGTGGATGTGGATCATTTTGGTGCGTGGAGGGTGGTAGTCAGCACTTAGTTGTTGGTTCAGGATTGTTCTCAAGTAGCAGATTTGGTTTGTAGGTGCTGGGGCAGGGTAGGAGGCATATTGGAGAGCTCAAGGCCCAGGAATACAAAGTTTATGCACAAAGTCTTCTGAGCCTGGAAGACACTTAGGAACCCTCTCCAATCACTCCATGTTATGGACCAGGAAACCAGCATCTAAGGAGGGGAAAAGGTTTGCTCAAAGTAATGTGGCAAGTGTCACCCCCAGAACTCAAAGGCCAGTGGTATTTCTCCATGTCTTCCCGAAGCATGTTTTACGCCTTCTGCCAGGCTAGCCCGTCAGGATGTGAGGCTGACAGTCACAGCACTGCACACCAACCCCACTGTCCTTTCTGGGTGCTCTCACTCTTAGGAAGGGCCCTGACTGATGGGGAGCTATTAAAAGCAGCAGGAGAGGGCACCAGGCATGTTTTTCTTCAAGCCAGTGAGGGCCCAGGGCTGGATGGTACTAAGTCTGGACTGGGACAGGGGAGGTGCTCATTAATCATGGAAAAATTCTCAGCAGAGAAGGGCTATCTGGTGTTTGGAATGAGCAGGGCAAATGGATTGGCTGAGGGTAGAAGCATGTGATCAGAAAGTATTCTTTGTTTGTTAACTTCACTCCAAAAGTGAAGAAAAATCCACGAGAACACGCAGGAACAAAGGGCACCACAAAGCCAGACAACGCAGCAGGGGATTCCCAACTCACCTGCTCGCTTATAAGCTGGACACAGGGGCCCTTTTCCTGGGCTCAGCTTCTGCTCCCTGGGTTGCAAAGATGGCTCCCAATGCTTCCTGCCTCTGTGTAAGTTGGTATTTGATAAAGGGGATGGGGAAAAATCTCAGGGATGAATGAGGGACCGTGCTGGGAGGCAAAATAGCTGCAAAATGGGAAGGAGGGTTGTCTGAAGAGAAGTTGGTTATGTGGCTCCTGAGTTCTCTTTTGAATCGGACCCTGGACTGGCTGCTGTTTGGGATAAATGGTAGGAAGGGGGCTGAGCTTTGTGCCCAACAGGCCTGGTGAGATGTGAACTAATGGAAACATTTCCAGAGTTCTTGAACTGAAGCTTCCCTCTCCTCTCAAAGGAGAGCTTCACAAAACTCATTTATCTTAAGTTGTTAATGACCTAATAGATTATCGTATATAAGAAGATATGCACTATAAAGAAAACCTGCAAGGAGGGCAATTAACATAGCAGAGTGACCCTCCAGCGAAGGAATGTCTGTGACATCTAGGTTGGGAAAATACTTTTGAATGGAGCATGAGAGAGGTCCTCCCAGGACCGCCAGGCTTTCCAGTGGCAATACAGGGGTGAGCTTTCCCATCTTTTAAGGTTTTTCTGTTATTGAAGTTAGATTGAGATAAAGTCCCTACTCTCTATGAGTGAGGTCCTGATCTAATTAAAGGAGGTCATATGCTACATTAGGTAGATATAAAAACACAGGAAACACAACACATACCACTGAAAATAGCATCATTATACGATGTGAGTTATTATTATAAAGCAATGGGACATTAGAAAAAGAAACTAACAGTTCGGGGATTATGTGTCCTAACAAGGGTTTCCTTCTGAAGCAGTCACAGAGGATATCGTATGGCTATGAGGCTGCCAAATATTGGAAATTCTCTTTGGGAGTTGTTTTTAGAGCCTGGTGTACACCTTTTGAAATTTTATTTACTTTTGACATTTGACAAACTTTTTCAGGATGGGAGAGGCAGATAAATAAGGTGGGAAATCATTAGTTACATTTTGAAATGGATAAAAGGTGTGGTTATAAAGGAATGGGACTAATTTTCTTGTTTGTGCTATAATGTGGGAATTCCAAAGAAGTTCCAAGAAAGGGAGGGAGGAAAGGAGGCGGAGGACCAGGCAGGCAGTGGAAGGATGGGAACAATTACGCTGGGGACCAGGGAGTATAAAGGGTGGCAGGCACTCTAGGCAACTGTCTCTTGGCTCTCATTGCCCAGGTGACTATCTATTCCATGGAGTGGGAATTAATGACCTTTGATGCCAACCTGGATGACAGAGTGAAGAAGATCAATGAACATGTCCGGTCTAACACCAAGGTTCCTGTGCAGGACCAGGTCCTTCTGCTGGGATCCAAGATCCTAAAGCCACAGAGAAGGCTGTCGTCTTATGGCATTGAGAAGGAGAAGACCATCCACCTCACCCTGAAAGTGGCGAAGCCCAGGGATGAGGAGCTGCCCTTGTTTCTCGTGGAGTCTGCAGATGAGGGGCAGAGGCACCTCCTCCGGGTGCAAAGGTACAGCTCAGTGGCCCAGGTGAAAGAGATGATCGAGACTAAGACTGCTATAACCCCAGAGACCCAGATTGTGACTTGCAAGGGGAAGAGATTGGAAGATGGGAAGATCATGGCAGATTATAACATCAGAAAAGGCAATATACTCTTTCTGACGGAGCATTGTATTGGGGGCTGACGGCCCTGGAGAGGGAGTGCTATCAGCTACAAAAGGGCTTATTTCCTTTAATCTATTATTTACCAATCATATCCTTTGATGATATCCCAAAATTAAAGAGAATGAGATAAATAGAGTAAGATTTGGGGTGGGGTGGGTAGGATGAAAAATATTTCCAACTCTAATTCTTTGATTCTAATGTAATTGATTAAGTGGCAGGATTGTTTAAGATATATTACTTAGAATGTAAAACAAATGTTTAAGGTACATTAGAGATAGCATTCAAAGCTGAAACTTAATCGTTTTTGGTAACTTCTGATTTATAGAAAAACTCCTAATTCCTTGCCTATGTAACAAAAGAATAGTTTTATGTTGGGATCCATGTTCTGCTAATTCCTGTGTTCCTATCTTTGTTAAACCCAATGCTTCATTTATAACATCATTCAATTATTATTGAACCAAGCTTAATTTCTACTTATAGAGCATAGTGAAATGACTTATTATGAAGTGAATTAATTGCTCTGACGTGATCACAATGTAATAAGTATTTTGAAAATTCCATTAAACTTCTTCCTCTCTCCTTATTTCAGCCTGTTTGGTATGAAATGAAGTCTGGCACCATACTGCCTTTTATGCTTGAGGCCCCATGCCCAGCTAAAATTGCTCTTATTTCTGAGGATGGTGGTTGGCATGGAAGATATTTTCCATGAGGATCTAGAAATCTTGTTTCTCTAGTTGGGGCTCTTTGCAGGTAGATGTGCTTTGGGTGGGAACACGCTTTCTGAAAGGTGGGGGATTGTGGACCAGCCCCTGTCCTGCTTGTCTTAGGGTCTAGTAGGTTTTTTCCAGGCTGAGGGTATCTGTCTGGGTGAGGGTGGTAAAGGGCTGGCTTCTGGGTTGACCCCAACACTCTGCTCCAGTTCTGGCTGATAGAGCATTTTCCTCTCTGCTTCCTTCATCAGGAGATCCCTGCTCCTCTCTTGGGAACTTGAGTCTCTTCCTCCATCTTCCTCCCTCCATTTACTCCTCTGATCGTCTCTCTCTTATGTCTGGCTTCTGGTCACTTGTATGTTTTTCTCACAACCTGAGACATGCCTACCTTCTTCTCCACCAGTCCTAGCTCCTCGTTTTCTTTAAACTTGCTCAAGAACCACTTCCTACAGGAGAGTTTCCCAGTTTAACCCCACTCTGCAAAATTCCCCCCACTCATGAGCACTCCTTACCACACATATGGGCCCAATGCTCTGCGGTGGGCACAGGCCATCTGGCTAGGTCTGCTTTAGGTTGCACTGATCTTCCAAGAAGAGAGTCCATGTCCTCTGTTAGGGTCAGGTGCAGGTTGGCAGCATTAAACACAGGAAAAGAGGAGGGGGCAAAAATGAGGAGGCCAATGAGCATCTAGAATAAAGCTCACAACAGCAGGAACTTGAGGTTAGGGACTTTTCCCCTCCAGGAGCATGTGCAGAAGCTAGGAGCTCATGACCAAATGTAACCTTTGTGCCATTAACATACATTAGCATAGTAAAGTTACAACCACCAGCCACATGACAGTTTACAAATGTCATGGCAACCCCTGAAAGTTACACTATAAGGATAAAATAAAGGAGGACCCTTAGCTCTAAGAACTCTCCACTCTTTTTCCAGAAAAATAATGAATATTCCACCCACCATTTAGCATATCATAAGGTGTAAACATAAAAGTAGACGAGTGGTAAAATTCCAGGGTCTTCTCCACTCGTGCAGAGAGACTCTTTCCCAGCTGGAAAACTTGCGCTTTGTACACCTGAAGCCTGCAACGAAAGCTGCTTGTGTGGAAGTGCTAAGTGTCTGTCATCTCTCCATCGCACTGGTCCAGCTTGCAAATTTTCCAAGCAAGGAGCCAAAGAATGGGACAACACCTCTCAAAACTCACACTGACACTCCCCTTTCTGGATGGGGTCTCCTGTAGGGTAGGAACTATGACTTTCTCATGAACTTGAGAGACTTCTGAGGGCAGAGACCATGAGTGTTCCTTGGTCTTCCATCAGACTGGGAGAAGGCTACATGTAACCATGTTGTCCATCATCTTTTCTGCATATGGAGTCTTGAGGGGCAGACGGAATTTCTGAGGATGGGGGAAGTCACCCCCAAATCATGCTTCCTCTCTTCATAGCTTAGGAGAAGCCCAGGGGCCATTCCCCTCCCTAAACCTGTATATACAAGGAGTTCATGGACGTTTCCTTAAGAATCTAAACATTTCTTGGAGAGAGGAAATGACCTCCCTCATTAACCTTGGACTCCCTGAGGACAAAGCTTAGAGACTTTCATACAAAAATGTACCGAAGGCTGCACTGACTCTCCAGTGGGTGTTTCCATGCTTGGACCCTGGGCTAGTACTTTCTTCCCTCCCAACCCACTCACTGTCTGGCCTCCCCTCTCCCCAGACTCCCCAGAAGCCTCCTCGCTGCCCCCTTCACTTCCCTGTTCCTGAGGGTGTAGATAAGCGGGTTAAGGGCCGGTGTGACCACCGTGTAAAAGAGCGAAACAAACTTGCCCCGCCCCTGGTTGTAGCGGGCAGTGGGCTGTAGGTAGGTGTAGATGGCCGAGCCATAGAACAGGCAGACGGCTGTCAGGTGAGACCCACATGTGCCCACCGCTTTCCTCCGGCCACCGCTGGACCGCATGCCACATATGGCCCGGGCCACCGCGCCGTACGAGGCCAGGATGACCGTGGAAGGCACCAGCAGGATGACCACGCGGGCGGCGAACATCTGGCTCTCGGTGGCGCGTGCGCCGCCGCCGCAGGCCAGCTTGAGCAGCGCGGGCAGCTCGCAGATGAAGTGGTCCAGCCGGTGGGGCTTGCACAGCGGCCGCGTCGCCAGGAGCGCCGTCTGCGCAGAGGAGTTGGCGAGGCCGCCGAGCCAGGAGGCGCCGGCCAGAGCGCGGCACAGGCGCGGAGCGGCGAGCGCGGCGTAGCGCAGGGGCCGGCACACGGCGGCCGCGCGGTCCAGCGCCATCGCGGCCAGCAGGACGCACTCGGTCGAGCCCAGCGCCAGCGACGTGCCCAGCTGGGTCAGGCAGCCCCCGCGCGGCAGCCAGAGCGCCCGGCCGCGCAGGGCGGCCAGCAGCGGCGGCACCACGCTCGTGGTGAAGCCCACGTCCACCAGCGCCAGGTGGGAGAGGAGGTAGTACATGGGCGTGTGCAGCCGCGGGTCGCGCGCCGCCAGCAGCACTAGCGCCGAGTTGCCGCTCAGGGTCAGGAGGTAGCAGAGGAGGACAAGGGCGAAGAGCACCGGCTGCAGCGAGGGCCAGTCGGAGAAACCCAGCAGGAGGAAGCGATCCTCTGTGCTGTGGTTGGCCTAGAGGAGGAAAACGCCCAGAATGTTTGGAAGGGTGAAATAAAAAAAAGGGTGACACTACCTTAGAAGCGAAGGAAAACTCTGGAATGTGATGATGGGCTGGGGATAGAAGCACATACATTTATTTACTGATTGTGCTCTCTTTTACAGATTTGAACCCTTAGTTTCGGTATCAAGATAGCCACATGATAATATTCCTTGGTTTGTATAGTCACAAGATTCTATGGGAGAGATAGAGCCTCCCTTTTATAAATGAACAGACAGGCTCAAAGAGGCTATTTAAGCTGTCCTGTGGTCACAATAGTCAGTGGCTGTGTGGGATGTGTACTCAGGCCAACGGATATCCAAATCAGTGCTCTTCCCAACTGCCTGCCGGATTGTGGTTGTACTCCTAGGGGCCAAAGAAGAAATCTAATCTCCTTTCCACATGACAGCCATTCAGATATTTGAAAACAGATTTCACTCTGAGCCTCCTTCCCCCACTTTCTTTGAAAGTGTTTAGTGCCTAAAAATAAGGGCAGTACCCCAAGCTCAACCCAGGCAACACTTGGTGGATTAGAATTATCACTTTCCTTGTTCCAAGTGCTCGGATTTTATTAATGCAACTTTCCTTTATTAAAGGAAAATCCAGACCAGGCCAGAAGAATCCCTGAACAGACAAAGCCAGTTATGCCTCATAAGTTAAGAGACCTTGCTTGATTTGCAAACAGAGGTGAAACTTAATTTGCACTTTCTTGTAAATGCCTATTTTAAAGAAAAACAGAACTTAAGCTCAATCAGAGTAAGCCAATAATCATAATTATATAAGTAGGGACTTAACAATGGGTTATACCCAATAAGGCGACTGTATAACTGCAACCAATCAAATATTTTCTTAGCTTTATTTCTGTGTTTGTCCTATAAAAGTCTTCCGCTTGTGCCACCTCTGGAGAGCTCCTCAGCCACTTATGATTTGGAGTTGCATGATTAATGAATTGCTGCTTGTTCAAATAGACTCTTTAAAATTTTCTTGTGCCTCAATTTTCTTTCTAACACAATCATTATACCATTGACTACTGGTTTCTAATCTGTTGTGAATAGAGGCTGCTGCCAATGTTTATGCCTCTCCTGCTGTAAGATCTAGTGTGATTACCGCTTGACTATCACAGATCAGCACTTGCATACTAACCTTTAAATCAAGAGTCAGCTGAGTGGAAGAAAGAACACTTTCTGGTAGATGAGAAGTCAGGAGATCTTTGTTCTACCTAGCATAGCTCCCTTTAGGAGGTTATTTGATGTGGGGCAGTCACTTCATTTCTGTATGCCTCAATTTTTTCACATGCAAATTAGGAAGTTTGAAGTAGAATTAGAGTAGTTTAATGTTCACATCCTATCCGCCTCCCCCCACCCCTCCCGGCTTTAGGATCAAATATTTCTCAAACAAACAAAAAGGGAACAAAGGGAACATCATTTTCAGTGGCCCTTTGAGAATTCTTAATAGGCCCTTGAGAGTGATGTTATGTAGCCACATCCCACCCAGTTCAGCTAAACAAGCCTTAAACCAATCCTCTTCAAACATGCCATGCCATGAAAACAGGCACACACAAATAAGATTGCATTGTTAGCATCTTGATTACATGTATGTACAAATTCCCAAATACATAGCTCAGACATATGTACACACATACACGTGCACCCCATCTTTCCCCTCACACATCCAGAGGCTAAATCTGTTG